CTAGAGATAGAAATCCCTAATGCGCCTTAACAATCTGCATTCAGCATAGAATCGCTAAGTGCGTTATTTTCGAATGTCCTTTGTCAACTAAAAATAGAGATTGAACGTCACTAAAGGCGTTCAATGCTGCGGCAACGCAAAATATTATTTGATATTTGCAATATCAAATATTATACTCATAATAATGAAATGATAATAGTACTAATAATGAAACTTCTCTCATTTGCATTATTAATAGTATCATCATTATGGTTATTATCGGAATAGCAAAGGAGAATACATCATCAAATAAGCGTGCGACATACAAGAATATTCACTAAAACAATGCATCATCGGTCAAATAACAATAACATAACGTAATGTCTCAAATATTCATAACAACAATAAAAAATAGCTATTGCAAACAAATTAATTAATTGTTCATCTAAGAAAATACAGAACAGATACAAGATATAGAATACAACTTATGTAGCTTAATGGAATATTCAATAACAACAGGACATTATCATTATTGACAGCACACTATATGGCCGCATTAGGACTCGAAGGAAACCCGTTTTTTTGGTTAGTTACTCGAATTGTGAATGTAACTGATTAGAGACATATCCATCCGCATCCATACTGCACACTCATAAATACAAGTGCAGATTCTTCAGCCACTTATACTAGCCTTACCTGAGTTCCTTTCATCGAACAGGGATAGTTTGAAAAACAGTATCCCAACTTCAGGTTTCAATCCATTGAATAGGATCCGATTCCGCAGATCTGTAGTTCATTCATTCAAACCCCCTCCCTCCCTCCTTGCAGACCGTAACTTAACTAGCCCTAAAAATTGAAGAAATGGATTCAAAAAATCTTGTATGACTTGTATGGAATTTGGCGAGGAGAGAAGCGAGATGGATGAGCTGAAATCAATAAAATGCATAGACATTGTTGCATTAAATTTGCAACAAAGGTGAGGGTAAAGCTTGGAAATCCAGCTGTGAGCTGAGCACAGAATTCAGCCACTGAACTCGCTGATTATTATCACGAAACGCTATACAATAGCCGATAAATTTCGATTTGAATTTGAAACTTTTTTTCGTCAAAATGAACGTTAACGTGAACGAAGTTGGTGGCTTTCGAGCAGTTTCATGGTCCATAAACCACAAAACATCATCAACATGCCATTCGTTCAGTTGCTTCATTGACTGAAATTTAACACTGATGGATTTCATGAGATATTTTTGAAAAAGTCAAAATTCTATTAGATTTACGAAGATTTTAGAATTTTCCGTTTTCGCTTTTTTCCGAATGTTATCAGTAACATTTATAATCGACTTTTGCAATTTCTTGAACTAAAATCTATTGGTGATATGCCGGAAAATCGCCTCGTATCGGATGATGTATGCTTCGAACATTTCCAACTTGGAGCAGTCATAAGAAAGTCAATATAAAGACATATGAGCAAGTAAACAGTAAAGAAGAGACAACTGCATGTTCTGCTAACCTTATTGTAATGAACAATCGTTGTGCCAGTTTCAAGTTTTAAATGGGCCGTACTGAACGATTTCGATCCAGGTTCTGCTATTTTCACATCATCCGCGAATGGATACATTTGCTATAAAAACCCAACATGAATTCAAATATTCTATCAAAAAATATAACACTGACGATATCAGGCAACATTGTTCTGAATCAAAACTGTGGAAAACTTCATAACGTTCTCATCAACTGATGATAGTTTCTGAAAGATCAACTTTAATAAATCCATTTCAAATGCTCATTTTCGGCTATGTTCGACCAAACAGTGATCATGAATATCAAAGGTATTTATCAACAGCACAAGACTAACGTCAAACGAGAACGGCTGTGGATCTCGTTTGAAGAGTAGAAAACAATCTGTGGGATCCCAGTCCAACCAACGTCCCGTCACCATTGACTTCATCTTCTCGCGTAAACCAACACGTCGTTGTAGCTGACCACATTTGATCATCTGAAGTTTACTGATCATTCAGCAAATTTGACACGGAGAAACGTGCGCACTTTTAACTTTCATGGAAGTTTTCATAATGTCAGGTCACTCATTAGGTGAATTTATTATTGAGAAATTTGAAAATAACCTCAAACAGGGCAAAATTGCCCTTGGATGCTTCATCACGAAAGCACGGACGATTGCGAGCAGCCTCACATACCTAAAAATTGTAGCAGTTCAATACTGATCATAAATACCATTACTATTATTATCAACCATAACTACTATCAGCTAATCATGAATTATTATCCACCACTTAACTAATATTCAATTTCTTACTCGCATTGATAACAGCCAATTCAATCGCGATATATTATTAGATAACAGATGAGTGCTTTGAATCGAGATAGTTTGTTTGCAAAAACAACACAGCAATGCTTATGTTGCTTACACCAATCGTTCCGTAAGGAATGATGAGAAAATACTTAGAAAATTTTGACGATACTTGTCACTGAAAACTCAATAACACTCACTTGCTCAGCAGTTAACGTTGATTGAACATTGAATGTGTAGCTGTCTTTTTCAAACAAATGTATCGGTACCAAGAAGCCATCAGCACGAGCCTTAAATTACGAT